CTCTGTAGTTTTAATTGACAGCTTTCTTGTTAGGACCCCTTTTCCTGTCAAGCATCCAGGTGCAGCAGCTCATTAAAGCCTACAAGCCCACCCTTTACTATTCAGACTCATTTACATAATAATTCTGGCTACTTCTACCTGGAGGTGTAAATACAGCAACGTTAAATTCACATCCCCTGCTGTCGATGTGGGTTTGATGGAGTACCAAGCAGGTTTTATGTGTTTACCTGCTTTGATTTAATGAACCATGATGGAGTGTTATTTGTGTAACCTTTTTTAAAGCTGACACCCTTCGTTTATCTAATTAATGATCCGGTTATTACCAACAGTTGAGTCCAGGTACGTGGCTGACCCCATTAAAGATGTCTTAACCACACTGTAGGATAATTAACATCACTTGATCTGTCATATAGTTGGAAACAAACACTTTAATCAGCCTCTAAATCCAGAAGGCAATACCTTGGATGTGTAATGCCAGCACAAAAACCTTAAAAAGTTTCTGGAACCTTTTGCAATATTACCAACAATGCTAGGAGTATCTTTTCACAGATTATTGCGAAAAAAGTTGTTCTAACAATTGTTTCTCGCCCACTACCAGCAGAATGGGATGTTGCCGATTTATTTTAATTTGGCATTTTATGATCTACTAGTCCTAGAAGAGATTATGGACTTCTGTGTTTGTTTTCTCTGAATATTTGCTTAAAATGTATCACTTAGTCTGCGTATTAGCTGGACAAGCTAATGAGTAGATTGTTAGGCATTAACAACAACTTTCTCACCTTAGACATTTTAATATGCATTTGTTGTTATCCTGGACTGTGTCATATGTGTTGCAAAATAAGCAATCCTATGTCAAGGAGAGGTTAGCTGTAAGACATTTAAAGCTAACAAACTAAAAAAGTATTCATATTAGCAAAGAGGCATTCAAAGCTAACTTCCTGAAACATGTAGCTTACTTTACCATTAAGTTGCTTGGTCTCTTATTCATTGTTTCATAAACATTTTTAGAGTTTTGTTTTTGTTTTCTCTCAGATTTAGCCCTGAAACAATATTGTCTCTCCAAATTAGCTATACATGCTAACAGGTTAACATTTAGAAGCATTAGCAATCATCTGGAAAAGAAAAACTATTTTCTCACCTTAGAAATTTTTATATACATAACTTGTATATATAATGTTTATTTGTTTTTTTTATATTACCTGTTATCCTGGACTGTCTTACGTGTTTCCTATGCCAAAGAGCGGGTTAGCTGTGAGACATTTAAAGCTAACTAGCTAAATATGTAACTTTACAATATTTTTTAAAAATTTTGTTGACTATTAACTAATTAATAATTATTGTATAGACTTCTGGGTTTTGTTTAAACCCAGCTTAACAAGATTACCACTGTGCTTCAGTTTAGCTAGATAAGCTAATGGATTAATGAATGTATTAGCCCTACTGAATTTTAATCATTCTGACAAGAATAATTTTTTTCTGCTTGTAAGTTTAAAACTAAATATGAAATATATATGAAATATTACTTAGTATTGATTCTTACTTCTCAGTACAGTGGACTATTATGAGTTGGACAATAATACTGATATTACCAAGAAGGCATTTTAAGCTAACTTCCTGAACATGTACTTTACCATAAACCGTTATGTTAGTTGGTCTCTAACTTTTATATTTCATTTTTAGAGTTTTTTTTTTGTTTTCTTTCAAACCTAACTCTAAAACAATAGCTCTATCAGCAATTAGCTAGGTATGCTAACAGGTTAGTAAACAGACAGAGTAGCATTAGCTCTGCTGTTTAGGAAAAACTAACTTTCTATCTTTGGACATTTTAATTCAAACATTAAATTACACATTTACTTATTTGATATGTATAGGCTAAAGCCTTACATCTGTCTCAACAATAGTTTAAACAAGATTCTTATTCAACCATGTCTAAAATATGTTCTTCAGCTGTTTATTTCAGTGATGCACCAAACTCATTTAATCATTATTCCACTCAGACATCTTTATTGGCTTTGTGTGTTTTCCTGAACCACAGCCACAGTCCCACTCCTCTCCTGCCGGGCTCGGCATGCCTCCACTCTTGACTAAATCTCAGACTCGTCTCTCACTGCGGCCCTTCTCGTTCTTGGCATCCATCCTGCTTTGAACCTGTGGATATTCCTCACTGAATCTAAACTGTACCACCCACAGTCAGCACCACAAGCAATATCACTTCTGTAATATTTCAAGCATTTCCACTGCAAGTAGCGAGACTTGATTTAGATGTTTGTGTGTTTTGCTCTCAGTTGTGTTGAAACAATCAAATTCCATTCGGAGCACTGAGGTACTATGCAAATATAAAAGTATATATTATATACACATTTTATTTGAACCTTTTCCAATATTCACATGTATGGAAAATGCCCAATTATTTGTAGAACCTTCTATGCCAACAATAATTATCGCAGTTTTCTTTATTAGAATTGGATTGGAAATTATGGCCCATAAGTCATCACCTCAAAAGGATCCAAAAAATGTAATTTAAAAAAAACTACATTCATTAAAATTATTGTTTTTTTTACCTACTCAGTAATAAACTGTCCATAAACTATTTTAACTAAACAAATAATCAGATTTTTTTGTAGGAATGGGCTTATAGATCCAAAGCTAGCACTGTAGGATTTGTTAGACGTTGTCTACCCAGAATGCATTGCAGCGTAAACAACATGGTAAGGTATGTTTGACAATATATTTATTTTCATTTTTAAAAACTAAACAGCCTACAGTATTTTACTGTATTGTTTTTACATCAACAATAAATATTTCTCAAACAAAGCCTTGTTTTTTCACGTTTTCACTCGGATGTGAAAATGGCTGCAAATAAATGCCAACTTATACAACCGTACATACTTGAAAAGCAGAAGTGGAGCCTCCTGCACAACCAACAAAGATGCAGCATCTGGTTCCTGAATGGTCAGTCAACAACAAAACACGTCTGTTCCAGAAGCCATTGTACAGCACATGTAAAACCAGCTGAGCAACGTTATTAGAACTCTGCTTGGGATGCTAGGTAACGGGGCGGAACTCAACTGGGGTTGCTAGGTAACGGGCAGTGCCTGCTGATTTGGAAGGTTTTTGAAACGTCTCACTTTTCAGACACCACAAAAACTAACTTATTGTAAAAAAAAAAAAAGCTGTGTTTTGTTTTTAAGCAGTTGGTCTGTTTTTAGAAGCAGTAGAAACCCAAATGCAAGTACAAAAACGAGCAAAATGTGAATTTTGAATAATAGATCCCCTTTAAATCCAACGAAAGTAGCCAAGGTGGGCTTAAATTCAATCAGAGATAAACTGTAGAGGTTAAAGCAGATCTTGTAAAGAATAATCCACACGGTCAGGCTTGAAATAAAACGATGTGTAGGAAAAGCGCTGCACAGTGAAACACGGCTTGCTGATGTGTTTTAACAGCATGTCTTTTGGCAGGAAGCGAGCCCATGGCTCAGAGCAGATACCTATTTCAGGCTTCAGCTAGATACTTGTTAGTGGGGAAAGTATTCTTGCCAAAAGACTGAAAAAGCCAGCTTGGGCATTTTCCAGGATTATCATGAATGTTGTGCTTTCCACACCTGCTGTATTTTATCCAAGAATATTGTGACAACGATTAATCACTGATGTCTCAGAGTAAAAAACCGTGGAAATGCTGTGACAGACGCTGCCGGGGTTTCTGTTTCTCCACGCTGGCTCGGTGCTGCAACATTCGTGTAGGTTGCACAAAAAAGGGAAGATGAGAAAGTCCTGCTGTCTGTGTTTGTTTGCAGAAAGTTTTTGCCCCAGTTTAGATGTGACGAAGTCCGGTGCCGAGGAGGGAAAGGTTTGCCTCGGGCGTCCGCAGCTGTGTGACTGTCTGCTGCTGGGAGTTTTCCACGGCCCCACTGGGACCAGAAGAATCCTCTGGTCAGTTTCAAAGTGTGACCTGAAGTGTTCCCGGCTGGAGGAGAGAAAAATCGGCTCAAAAACACCAAAGTCTCTCTCCTCTCCGAATCTTCTGGGCTGTTTTTTACGTCTTGCAGACTTGCAATTAATATTTGCGGCTCTCCAACATGACTCAGGGGTGATGTTCATTGGAAGATCGATGCTTGTTTTCTTCGGTATTGTTCCAATTTCCTGTTGAGTCACGGAGGCACTCAGAATGATGTAGCCTGGAATTAAACCTGTTGTTTTCACACATTATTTTCAGCTGCAGCTCCAGCCGTGTGTTCAGAATAACAATAAATAAGGGGCCCCATCAGGAGCGCTTTGTTGTGGCTGAAAAAGAATGTCAGGATATCAATCTTAATCAACCGCTTGTATTCACGTCACACTGACTAGACCTTTAGATCAACAGATTATTATAAAAAACACACTCAATGAGAACCACATAGGTAAAAATTACATCAAATTGCTCCCATGTGGTTTTATTATTTAAAGCTGAATATCCACTTGACATCACTGTACAATGTTGAGGCCGACTGCATTAGCAGGTGGGTGTATCGACACTTCAACAATACATTTTATCTCTGCTCAAAAACAGTCGATGTTTATAACAAAATAAAATGCAGGATTTCCAGTTTTTCTGGTTTATTTCTAAAATAAATGTTTATTCTTCAAGCAACTTCTTGATAGTTTTTATATTTAGGTGTTTACACACCTTAATATATATGAAATATTTTGGTCTCGTATTTAAATTTAAGGTTCACAAACAAATCTATTTTTAATGTATCGCACAACTTTATTTAGTTTAGATTGTTTTTGCCAGTAGTGCTTATTGGATGTTGGTCACGTGACTCGTGTGATGTGAAAAAAGTGTTTCAATTCGGCCGTAAAGCAAAAAAAATAAAAATTCAAATTGGGTATTTTTCTTTAAGCAAGTTTGTTTTCTTAATTTCAAGTGTCCCACTTTTATAGAAACGCAGCTGGTGACACTTTATTAACCAGATTCTGGTGACTCAAAATGAAGGAATGAATGAAACGATTGCAAGAACGAGGCGTTTTATTGAAATGTACAAGTTTTGTACTTTTTTAATGTTCAGTTACAAGTAGATCTTTCCTGCCGACAGCCATTAGTACCTACTGTAACTCTTTAAAGAGTTTTAAAATAATATGAGTTACAACAACATTTACTTTCCCCTGGGATCAATAAAGTTTGAATTTCAATTTGAACTACTCTGAAAACCCCAGGGGGTGGAGTTCCACTGTGGTTGCTAGGTGACGGGCTGGGCTTTGCTGTGGTTGCTAGGTGACGGGCTGGGCTTTGCTGTGGTTGCTAGGTGACGGGCAGTGCCTGCTGATTTGTTACATTCCAGAAGGTTTTTGAAACAGTTCATTTTCCAGTTACCAATAACTTACCAAATATTTTTGGTCTAGTTTCTACTTCAAATATCTGAATATACTTAAAATAAGGCAAAACTAATTTATAAGTAATTTTTCAGCTTGTTTCAAGTCAGTAGTTCCTTAATATTGATGAATAATTACTAGTTTCTTTGGTAACTAGTAATTATTAATAGAATGGAATAAGTATTTTCTGATCAACTTTAAGGAATTATTGACTTAAAACAAGATCCTATAAGTTAGTTTTGTTTCATTTCCAGTGTACTAAGACAATTGTACTAGAAACTACGCCAAAAATACTTGGTCAGATTTTGTGTTTTTGTGGTGAAGACATGAACTCATTGCCAAAAAACTGCTTTTTTCTTTTTTCAGCTTTAGAAAACCAAAAGGAAGTACAAAATGTGAGTTTTCACTGCCCGTTGTGAAGCTAACTGCCCCTGTGAGCCGTTGCTGCCCCGGCAGTCAATTTGATGGCAAATCGCAGGACACAGTAAACATCGACAGAAACATCCATCTTCCCCCCAACCTGCCTCTGTTTATGGATTTATCCCGGTTTAGGTGCTCGCTGCCGTAAATATTAAGCTGTGGCGATGATTTGCTGCCGTGTTGGGCGCCACGGATAGATTGTGTCAGTATTTAAAGCGCTCCGTGTCCACTCAAGGAAAATAGGCCTCCCACTCTGATTATAATGACAACGTAGGAAGAGATTAGCAATATAAATACTCGAAACACAATTACCAGAGCTGACTATTACTCTTTAACCACTACTTGGCCTCTGCTTCAGGCGTGAGGTGATTTCAGAACTCGTTCGTTTCTCTTTTGAATAAACTCACAGTGTGTTATTTTCTGAGTTTGACTCGGATCAAACTTAGATAGTAATTACATAGTCTCGAGATGATTATTGTAATAGAGCTAAATCTGTCACTTGATGGGCTCATTAAAGTTATTTTAGAATTATCTACTAAAACTAAGCTGCAAAGTTGGGAAAAAACAACATAACTTAAAAATACTTTGCTACATAAACAACTTTTGACATGAGGTTAATTAAAAGAGCGACCAACCAGCAGGAAGAATAGCATAAGAAAAACAGACATATGCCTCATTCTGTTTACTTTCTAATGTTTTGCATTTTAAGCTCTAATCCTCCTCTATTAATGACTTCTTAACAAAGCTAATTTTACATGAATATTAATCTGAAAAACACAGAGAATAGAATATGTTCAGTAGTTGTAGAAGCCTGTGGATGTTGTGTAAGTCTGGTTGGTTTTTATTTATTCATTCTGTGACACAGTTTGGGATGTCTTCACGCTCCCTTTTGTGCAAAGCTGGATTTTTTTTTTTTGTAGGATAAAGAACAGATTTGTTTGACAGCAGTGGAAAATTAAAGTTTAACTTTTGTTTTGTTTTTCCCCCACAGCAAGAGACGTTTTATTAAACTGGAGCTTTGTCTCAGTTCTGTGCTTTGGAATAGAAATAAAAATGGCATTTGTCCATCAAATCAGCTGCTGCCAAGGAGATTTCCTGTTAAGTAGTTTTGCTATCAAACAGATAGTTGAGGAAAATAAACAAGTTTGTTGATTTAATGCTGAATTTTATCACTTGGCCACTATTTTGGACTTCCTACCCGTCCCTATAGAACTGAGCAGCCTCAAAAAGTTAAAAGAAGACGCCGTTTAGTATTAATTATTTATTTAAATGACAAAAACATTGAATAAAGAAACTTACCCAGGAAACCTATTCCCCTCCTCGCCTGTGGGGGCACTGCACCAAAAATCATTGAAGGAAATGACACAGAAACTTCTGAGAAAGACACTGAGCACAACTTCCTGTTTTACAAAAATGGTGTAAAATAAGAAAAGTAAAATTATTTTTAATTTAAAAATAATTATTTTAAATTTTAAATATTTAAAGCATAATTATTTAAATTATCTTTTAAATAATTAAAAGATAACTACTCAAAAAATAATTATCCTACAACTGATTTTAGTGCTAGGTTAGCGTGTTTATTTTGGTTGTATTTACCCAGAATTCACTGCGCTGTAGTCCACTTCCTGCTTTTGGAGCTGTCTTTGGACCTTTTGGCGTTCACATTTGCATTCAAACCGCTCCAGAGTTCACTTCAACCAAACTGAGGTTTGTAGGCGGACCAGAGTTCACTTTTTCAGACTTTGATTCATTCACACCTCCCCAAACGAACTGGACTTTTTTAGCCAAACGGACTGGAGTTTGATTAAAGTGGACTCAACATGGCTGCCATGAATGCAATGATCCCCAAGAGTTTTGGGATTTTGTTGACTTTTGGGAAAGAAGTGGAACTTTGTCCCATTTGAACAGATATTAAATTGGCATTTCACCAAAGATCATCATACTGACAGGCAAACATGACAGAGACGTTGTGATGATGTGTTTCACATTTAACGTCTCACTTTTTGGAGGTTTTTGAAGTTCAATTCAGTAAAGTTAAAAATTACTTTATGTATCCCAGTGTGAATTTAAATATTGTCTTAACTGACATCATTCTTCATGGCGATTGAAACATGCTAACATCGATTTCCAGGCAGTGGAGACGATATTCCACAGTAACGTCCTGGATGACACCGTCAGCTGTTGGGAAATCCACCTCATTTGCTTTTGCCACTTCTTTTTAAATCTCTGTCTGGCTGTCAGGTTATAGGCCGGGCAGAGAGATGTTAGAGTAGGGGATACAGGAAGGGAGTAATTGGTCAAACATGCAACCACATGAAAATAAAAGAACAAATCAAAGCTAACCTAACATGCTAGTAGACTTTTCCGTTTTGAAACATTGCGCTTTGTCATTCTCCTTACTTCTAGATCCTAATTGCAAATAACTGCTCACATTTACACCAAGATGGTAAATAATGAATTCAATTGGTGAAAAACAAAAGAATAAAGAATTTAACAAGTTGTCAGAAAACATAAAAATCATTTCGTAAAATAAAGAGTTCACACACACCATGATGGGCCAGACAGCTTTAGGCAGTGTGTGTGTTTCTGTCTATTTTTTTCCTCCTTTGACCAACATCTGTGATTATAACTAATTGTTTTATCTTTTCCCCTGAGTTTTCGCCAGACACAATGGCTTCGGGGACAAAAACCTGAGAGGCGTCGGATTTTATTGAGAGAGCTCCTCTGGTTTCCTCTTTATATCCCAAACGATTTTCTTTATTAAATACATGGAAAGTGAAATTTATTTATTGTTGTGGGATTTAAGAAATATAATAGCCTCTCAGTCAACCGTAATAACATACAGTATTAATCAATAACGGCGTTTTACTGCAAAGCTGAAACATCTCCATACACCTAAACAAATAGAAAAAACAAAAAATTCACAGAAAGTCAAGGGCATAAAAGATAATACATGAAGGCTTCGCCGGGTCAAAGGTCACCAGTCATGCATGGGAAGCTGTTTTATTTTCTACCAGTGCAACTACAGATTCATGCCTGCAAATGATTTCTTCCCAAAACATAAAGGTCACGTTTCGCCCCGGTGACACAACGGTTCAGATCGACGGCTTCCCCATCTGTTTCACCAAACGCTGTGGAGAAAACAATAATCACAAACACCTGAGCAGGAGATAAAACTGTTCTCCACAATTAAAACTTTCTTGTTTTTTTTTTTATTATTTATTTTGGGGTGTTTTCAACAGTTAGAGTAATTAAGACTGAACTCGGAAAAACATTTTAGGTCAACCAAGGTGTTTGTTTTAATTGTTTTTTATTAGTGTCATGATGAGAATTCAGTCTTTTTATTTTGAATAAAGAGGCTAGTGAAATTACATAATTATTCAATATTATGCAGCTGCTGCAAAGCCTAAAACAGAATAGGAGTCACTTTATTGATCCTCAATTTGAAATTAAAGCCAATTTGCTTTCTATGGCCTCTCTTCTGTAAAACAAACAACTGATTAAACTACTTTTTTTTAATTGAAATGTTTGTTATTTACAACATGAAATATTAAAGTAACAATAACACTAAGATGGTAGCCTTTTCTTGAACTAGTAAGTCTAGGACATTATATATAAATGAGTTCCTAGTTATTATCGGTTGTTTTCAGCATTTTTCATATATTTAAGCCAGTGAGTTTGTTTTTATTCCCAAAAACAGAAACATTTATCTTGAGTTTGAGAGTTAGCTAGCTGAAAATAATTAGCTTGATTACTTGTTAGCTTAAATAGTTTTTAGACAGGAAGAAGTTACCATAAGCAAATGTGAGCTTTAGGTAGTTGTTGATTTTTAGTTGTAAACTGGAGTCATACTTTCCAGGGTGGCATTTAATTTGATCAACTGCTAGCATGAAAAGCCTAATTAGCTTTTAGTTTATGTAGCACTTATAGTACATAACAAGAGAAGTTGTAAAGGTGTACGTAATTCCTCACGGCCTCAGACAATTCTAGATTTCAGCGTGAGTCAATATTTTTTATTAAAAATGTTAAGTAGCTTTTAGCTGGAGTAGTAGCTTGAGTAGATGTTAGCTTGAGGAGTGCTAAGCTTAAGTGATAACTTAATTACAGTTGGTAGGTGGCATTTAGTTTAATAGTTAGGTTTCCTAGCAGTGTCTTTGCCTGATTTGGAGCTAACTCAAGTAGCAGTTAGCCCATGTAGCTATTACTTCAAATAGCTGTTAGCTTGAGGTTTAGATCAGTAGTTTTTGGCTTGACAAGCAGCTATCTTGAGTAACAATTAGCATGAACAACTTTTATCTTAAATAACAGTTAGCCTAAGTAGCATTTAGCTTGAGTTGCAGGTAGCGTGAGTAGCTACTGTCTTATTTAGCTTGAGTAATATTAGCTTGAGTAGTAGTTAGCTTGATTAGCTCTTAGCTTGATTGTCTTGAAGGAAAGAACTTCAAGATGTATCATCTTTTTATTTTCAATCTCCTGTTGCCAAGTTTTCAGCTAACAGCTCTTGAAATCACCTTGTTGGCAATTTGTCTCTTTCTGACCGGCTGCTGGCAACAACTTGCCTAATTATCCAATTTAAAAGTTGCTTCTTTGCTAAGTTTGTGTGTGACAAAGCACTAGCTCGTCCCTTGAACGTAGCAGCCTTTCATACGCCTGGGTGATTCATAGCCAGTTCAAACCAAACAAACACGTCTCTTTGAGTTACAAAGCTTAAAAAGTGCAAAGGAAAACTCAGAAAAGATGTTTAGGAAGGCTCAAAAAACCGCATATCTAAGTCTTCTGTTGCTCTAAGAGATTGGCCATAATGCTATGATGTGCAAAGATCAAAAGTGTTTGTTTGAAAATAAATAAAAACAACATTGTAGATCGTTGATTAAAAATGTCTGATATCTTGTTTGTTGGGCTTTTGCGGGGATTACAGTGGCAATACAAGTCAAATAAAAAACATTAAAATGTGGATTTAGACATCAGTTGCCATGGTTACAGCCAAAGCTTCAAAGCTTTTGAAAGGGAAAAGTCAAATTATAAAACAGAAAGGAATCAAACTGAACAATTTTAGATTTGTCTCCTCATATTAAACTAACCAGTCATGTTTCCAAGACTTAATAGAAATAAATGTTTTCGTCAGATCACTTGGCAGAAAGTTGCTGACCCATTTATTCCCAACTTTTTGGAGAAATCAAATCGAGTGAGCAAAATGAAAATGTGCGTCTTTGTGTGTCGAGGTCGTGATGTACAGCCGTTCAACCTTGATCTATCACCCTGCAACGCCTGATTGCACAAGCGGAGCGAGAGGTAAGAAACGGTGAGAGTTGCAGCCCCTCTGGTGGGTTTGGCTCATTAGAACTGGGCTCATCGAGGGGGCGGAGCACATCACAAGGTGTCAGAGCCCCAACCTGCTCCAGGAATCACACTGGTTGATGGGAGGGAGGGGAGAGTGATAGAAAGACGAGTGGAATGTAGGTGATGGGGTAAGGAGGGGAAGGTGTTCGAGTCACAGATGGAGGAAATGAAGCTGTAACACAATCTGATTTACCCAATATTGCTCAGGTTGTTCTGCAGGACGGCTAAGAAACTCCACCGGGAGAGCGGCTCTCACTTTTTTCTTTCAATTGTTTTTATCTTGCTTTCGTTTAAAGGGACCTATTTTTTTTACATTTTTGTACTTCCATTTGGGTCTCAACTGCTTCTAAAAACAGCCAAAGCTATGAAGACAACCACCAAGTCCTTTATTTTGGCAGCGAGTTCATGTTTTTTTTGTTGTCTGGAAAATTAGTCGTTTCAAAATCCTAGGGAATGTAACGTCACAAATCAGTAGGCAGTGTCCGTCACCTAGCAACCCCAGGAGAGTTCCACCCGTCACCTAGCAACCTCAGCAGAGTTCCGCCTGTTACCTACCCAATTTCTCTCATTATTTAATTTTTTTAAATGTATTTATCTACTTCTATGGCTGCATTTGTGTTTCTGTTCCCTTTGATTGTCTCAGTTGTTGTTGTTTCCAGTTGTTACCCACTATTTACTTGTGAGTTTCAGGATGTTGTGTTATTGACACAATAATTTAAGTTCCTTTAGTTCTTGTCACAATAAGTTTGGTTTTATATTTAAAACTAAATTGAAAGCTACTTCATGTGTTCCTGTATTTGGGTTCAGTCTTTAAACCAAATTACCACCTAAAAGGCTATCAATAATATAGTTGGGTAATGCATGAAACTTCTTAAAATGAACATAGACATTGTTTTGTAAATTTGATTTTTACTCAAACTTTCTGCAGACTTTTAATACCTAAGCGTAACTTAAAGTCATTAAAGTCAACTGATGTAACCGTCAGACAGAATTTAAGAAATATCTGCTACTAGTTGTTAGTAAATTTTTCTTACACGCATTAGGTTCATTTATTTGATTTTTACTAATGGCACTTATGGAGTTCCATACAAACACTAGAACTAATTGTTACTTTTTAAACATCTTGTTTAATTAGATAAAATCATAGGAGTAAATAAAAGCAGAAAGGTTTTGATGGTGAAAAGGACAAAATGTCCTCCTCTGTTTGCCTCTGCAGTTTTTCGCTGAGGCTCAGATTTAAAGACAAAGTCACCAGCGATGATGCCACTGTATCGATTTTAATTATCCCATTACTGAGCCTGAGGGGTCTTATAAAAACAGATATGCTAAAGACCTCCGACTAATCAAATACAGAGCCGCATCGTGCATTTGTTTCACCGCTGTTTGAAGTTCGATTTATGTTAAATAACAGCGTGATTCAAACACAAAACATATTAGCTTTGACAGGAAGTGGAGAGACGGAGACAGAGGTGGGTCAGAGAGGAGGAGGGAGGGAGAGCTGCTCTGCTCCGGCGTTTAACCCAAATATGGTTCAGTGTTACTGGGAGGAGGCACTTCCTGGTTATAATCCAGAAAGTCAAATTAACAATAAAACCAAGAAAGATTATATGGAATCACAACTTTTGGGGGATTTTTACTAGATTTGTTCTGGTTTATCCCAAAAAGATAAAAAGATGGGGGGGTGGGGGGGGAACATGTTTTTTTTTCAGTAAAATATAAGAAGAACCTGGAATCACTTAATGTTCCTTACCCAAATATTAAAATCCAAGGTGGCCACCTGTAGCACAATAGCAGGAATGCGTGGTTTAACTATACTGACTGTTTGTGTCTCTTTAAATCCATCAGAGCCAAAGTACGAAACATAATCCGATCAATCTTAGTGTTTTAATGCATAAAGTGGAGAGAAAAACGTTTCTGACTTTGGTCGTTTTTGAGATTTTCGTACCCTTTAGCTAAACGTATGAGTATTCACACAACAATTTATATATAAATTTTATTAAATTCATATTGGTTTTTTTTTGTTGTTGTTTTTTACTTAATTTCTGTTCCAGTGTAAGTAGACAAGCGAAAGACGAAGACATGACAACAATAAGTTGGTGTTTAAACTAAACTTATTATGCAAAATCTATCATTTTTCACTTTTTTGCCTTTCCATTTCGGTCTTAATTTCTCCTAAATGCAACCCAAGCTCTAAAAAAATGTGGAAATGTTGATAAGTTAATGTGTTTTGGTATCTGGAAAAAAGCTCCCAGTTGTGAAGTCACAGAGGGCACTAAGCCGTTGCCTAGCAACCTCAGCAGAGTTCCGCCCGTTACCGTTACCTAGCAACCCAAGCTGAGCTCCAGCACGTTTGGGCAGCTGGTTTTACCGCTGTACACGCTGTACAATGACTGCTGGAACAGACAAGTGTTTTGTTGTTGACTTACCATTCAGAAACCACTTGCTGTATTTTTCTTGGTTGTGCAGGAGGATCCACTTCTGTTTTTCAAAGATCTACTTGCAGACATTTTTATGTGCAAGTTTAAATTGCAGCTTTTTGGGATTTATTGTGACAAGACACCTTAAAAGAGCTAAAATCTCATTATGTAACAATGATTTTATGCAAAAATTGTTGTAAACATGTTTTGTTTAGGCCGTAAGAAGCATAATGGGTCACCTTTAACTAAATATCTGAATAGATCCTGCAATTGTTTCATGTAAATCCACAAAAATGACAATTTCAATAAAGTGTTTCATTTAACGTGGGGCTTGTTAGGACAGACATTTCTTCTAAACCACAAAAGCCAGTCACAAACTACAGCTGTTGTCGTTTACCTCATCCCATATTTTATTTTCCCCCCACATGATTTATATACAAAAAAATAAATTTAACATGGCAATCTGATGCAATGCAGCCGCAATCCCTTTCCATACATAGGCAGCCTTTTCAGGTTCATCCGGCTCACTGTGGATGTCAGAACGGCAGAAATGTAGAGAGTGAAAAAATAAAAAATAAAGAGAGAGAGAGAGAGGTGAAGAAATAGGAAGTAGCAGAGTGGAAAGGTGAGGGCGTGAAGCATGAATGCTTCAGCAGCATTGCCACCACAAACAGTGTTGACCTGGAAAGCCTCAGTGTGCTGGACATCAGCTTCAGAAAAGCCTTTTAGAGACCTCCTCTGGGGATTAGTACTGTTTTGGTGTTTGGGGTTTCTGTCTTTTGCTTTTTATTCCACACTTTCTCGCTCTGTTTGTGTGCAAGTGTCGGCTCGACTTCGGGCGTCGGCACCAGAAACGCGTTCTTGGGCGTTTCTGGTGCTAAAATGGATAAAAGGCAAAAAAAAAAAAAAAAAGGGAATGGGGGGGGAGAAAAAAAGTTTGATTTTTTTTTTGTAATTCAGTTGAGATGAAAGGGGAAGAAGTAATTTTATTAGTTGATATAAATTTCAGGGTAAAAGAAGGAGTAGGCAAAGGTTTTCTGAGGTTAAAGTCTCTGTTCAAAGCAAAATAAATAAAAAAATCGACATCCAAACATTTCAGGAACATTTTTTATTTCCTTCACTGTTTTCAGACTCCAAAAAACGTCACTTATTAAGATTATAAATAACCAGAGTATGAAAACAACATTGAATAGTGAGTACACGATGATGATTGACAGCACTAAGACCCGCCTCCTGCCTCTGATTGGTTGCATTTCTTCAGACAGCAATAGAAGGAAGTGGAGGATATTAATCTTTTCCCAGATTAACTGTCTCATAACAAGCTGTCATAACGCGGTGACGGTTTTACCAAATATGCAAAAAACATATTTTTATTTTTAAAATATTTCACGTTTTGTCGAATTCAAACAACCAACGGAGTAAATGTGACCCAGTTGTTGCAGTAACCGTGAAACTCAAAATGAACTCGTGGAGCTAAAAGTCTCATCGGCGAGACAGTTGGAGACGAGGAGATAAAAAAAGAAAGCCCTTCTCCTCTTATCAGCTCTTCTGGCGAACAGACTTTGTCCGACGAAAAGCTAATCATGGCTGACAGCTAGCGTCGCATCAAACAGGTAGCATAGCTTCGCCTAGCGCTGGACGCTAGATTGCTTTTGACAGAAAACATCCAAATAAAACATTAGCAGGGCTTACAGGGAGAAACCCACTGAGTAAATTATTCACACATTGACTTACTGACGGAATGAAAGCTTCTGTCTCCTCTCTAATCCCCAGCAAAGCTTTTGGTAATAGCGCCGCGCTCAAGAGTTGCCTCTCACAAGGCTCTATTCATCAAACTTTCCAGCGTATGAAATCGGCGTCTGACAGGCTTTTGAAATCCTGCGGCTCCTGCATTATTATGGCGTTTAGCCTCAAACAGCCTCTCGCGATGGTGATTGCTTTGATTTTAATTGGGATCTTCTCGGCGTTGCTGCTGCCTCTAATCCAGCCGTCTCCCACCGGTTGGAAAAGGGTCGCTCGCGGTGAGGCCTGTTCACTCCTGACGCCGACGCCGGGTTGTCCTATTGAGTTTGGCGGCAGGGAAAGGCCGCGCGTCGCAGCGGGGCGGCTTGTATTTTTGCTGTAAAGTCACAGGTAATTGAGAGATGAAATATAGAAGCCATTTGATGTGGCTGGAAGTGTCAAACAGCCGCTGTCCTTGGTCTCCAGAGACGAGCTTATGGCACAGTAAAGCACCATTTAGCTCGTCCATCCTTGAAAGACTAAGCCATGACCCCACTGGGGAAAAATAAAACACATGGAAAGGCTTACCAGGTGCATGTCTCTCCAGACAACTGAGGAATCATGGCGCACCTTTGTCTCCATGAAGCCGGACCACCTGCTGCTCTCTAAATGATCCTAAAAAATAATCCTTTATATACAACGGAGAAGCTTGCTGCTGCTGCTGTTGCTGCTTAAACTCACAACACAATGGATTCTAGGGAAGAATATTAAATTTTACCAGGCATTTTTGGTCTAGTTTTGAGTACAAATATCTTAGGACACACTAAATAAGACAAAGCTAATATAAAAGTAGCTTTTCAGCAAAATATATGAGCTTGTCTTCAGTCAATAAGTCATTAATACTGATGGAAAAGTTTTCCTATGCTAGCTTTGTTGCTAGCTAACTAGCTAACAAGACATGTTCCCCATGTGATTTTCCCCAAACACATGTGATTTTGTGTTTTTTTCAGTGCAACAAGGCAGTATAAATAAAAAACAACACAAGGTAACAGATTGTGAAACAACACTGCAAAACCACAAAATCTCACCAACTGAATTTGGCCTAATTTGTTGTGCAAATATGTTAATAAGACAAAACTAACTTACAAGTAACTTGGGTTGCTAGGTAACGGGTGGAACTTCGCTGGGGTTGCTAGGTAACGAGTGAAACTTCGCTGATGTTGCTAAGTAACGGAGCAGTGTCTGCTGATTTGTGACATTACATTTCAAAGGTTTTTGAAGGCATTTTCCAGACACCAAAATACATTAACTTATTACCAAAAAGCAGCTCGGTCTGTTTTTAGAAGCAAAAGAAAACCAAGTGGAAGTATAAAAACGTCGAAAATGTGAATTTTGGATAATTACTCCCCGTTAAAGTATCATATCTTTATCTTTCAGCAGCCACATCGTGTGTTTGTTGGAATCAGAAAGGCCAGGAAGCCTCTCGGCTCCAGCGTGGAGATCTGGAGAACAGAGAGAGGATTTTGGGGGTCTGTGCCTCGGTGACTAATGGCGTCCCTAAAAAGTACGATTGGCGCATAAATTTCTTATCAGCTTTTTAAAATCTTGGTGATGAATGTCCTGCTCTTTTGGCCTAATGAAATCCTGTCGCCTCTGGAGCTCTCTCAGTAATTAGTCTCAAAGAGGGAAAAAATAAAATCACCTCTTGGAGACAAAGTTTGCCAAAGTTAAATCCTCAACAAAGGACTGCGCCATGTTGTGACCACGACTTCACATCCACATCAGTTTGATGTCTGGATTAGAAAACAAATAAATACATTAAAATTTCTGGGTTTGAAAAGCAGAAAATTTGAAAGAACGACCTCAGAAATTTGGAGATTGATCTCAGAAATCTTCTAAAAAAAAACAAACAAAAAAAAACAAGTAAATTTCTAAGTTTCAAGTCAAAATTGTTCAATATTTGAAACTCAGAGATATACATTTTTTTTCTAGAAAATTTCTGAAATTT